GATCCTAAAGAAGATCGGTGGTTTACTCGGGAGGAACTGATGGAAACAGCTCCTCAGGTGGTGGCAGATTATGAACGGAAGCTAAAAGGGAAGGCACCTGCGAAGTAAGCATCTCAGCGGACTTTCGAAGCTAAGGGGGATGGAATGTGAGGATTGAGCCCTCAAGTAGGGGCCTTGCCATGACGTACATGTTCTGGGCTAAGGCCCCAGCAAGCCTAGTGCCCGCCCTAAGTGAAGGCGGGCCAGCAAATCAACAAGAGCCCTCTCGGCCAACACTCCACGAAGTGGGGTCTAGACAATTGCAGCACGCCAGTTGGTTGGAGTGCACCGAGTCTCGGATTTCAGCAAATGCTGAAATGCCCAGGGCCTCTGAGTTAGTTAGGCCCTGGGCCCTCGAACGTGAGGCCGGCAATGCATGCTGGGTAGAGAGGCCGAAATGCCAAAAGGGAAAATCGGCCCACTATCTGAATCTGGCCGCAGGCCTTGAGAAGAAAGGCGCAACTGCATTGCTCCGGGGCCCAACTGTATCAGGAAGGCTTCAGCCTCTGGGTCCCGGTTGCAGGCTGAAGGGAGGCCGCCCACATGCTGCATTGGCATATAGGCAAGCAGGGCGAGGCAGCGGGGATCTTGGCCAATGCTGGCACTTGCGGGCACGCTGCGCGGATGCATGTGTGCTGCGCTGTGCAAGGCAGTGCTGCGCTAAGAGCAAGCAGGCCAGCGCTAGGCGGTAGGGCGCTGCCTGCACTGAGGGCACTGGCGGCCATAGCCTGGGCCGCAAGAGGGTGCAGGTGAGGTGAGGGCGAAGGTGGTACTTTGGAGGTGAAGGGCGCTGTGTGGGTAACAAGGGAGAACGTGGGGAAGAGGACACGTACCTGGTGATGGTGGAGGTCTGCATTGGTTTTGACATCATCACTCGCTGGTAGTCAAGTTGTCTGGTTGCTGTTCATTGCTGGAGTTGTAGGATAGGCTGTAGAGTAGATAGGGGCGCCTGGCGCCATTCACAAGAGAGAGCTACATTTGGTTTATGCTGTTGGTGTTGCCCTGTTGGGCATGGACATTGACTCACGATTCTTCTGTATCATTCTCAATGGGATGGTTACACGGTTCCATGTGCTATCTGAATACTTGGACTTCAGTGTGATTTTGCATTCTGGATTTCTGTGCTTCGTCCATACTTATGTTCCTTGCATATGTTATGCAGAAACATAAACTGAACAACTTTTGCCTCAGAGTCGCATCGAAATTCTTCCCCAAATTTGGAATAAAAAATATAATTTAAAAATCGTTTTTTTTTTTTTTTTTTTTGGCCCGGCCGGGCAAGTGACACCGGGCCACTCTGGTAGCCTAGAGTTAAAGTTGTTAAACTTTAAAAAAAAAGAAAAGAAAAAAAAAAGAAAGCAAGAAAGAACGTAATTTACTAATTTTTAAATTTGAGTAATTTGTAAGCCTGAGTGTTGCTGCTGAAGTTTGGACCCAGAGCCTTGACGTTGACTTGGCTTGACGTTGACTTTTTGACCTTGTGCTTTTCCAGTGCAGCCAAGCAGTGGTGGCGACAATTACCGAAGACAAAGAGGGAAAAAGACGAAGAGAGAGAAAAAGACGAAGAGAGAGAAAAAGATGAAGAGAGAGAAAAAGACGAAGAGAGAGAGAAAATACGAAGAGAGAGAAAAGACGAAGAGAGAGAGAAAATGGATAAGAAAAGAAAGTGTAAGAATATACTCACAGTAGGACCTTGTAATCGCACAATAGCAAAATGAGCGGCCAGATGGAGTGCTGCTCTTAGGAGGAGTAGATCTGGCCACTGATTTTGCGAATTTTTGCAGTGACAAGGGCCTAGTGTGAGTATGCCCTAAACATGGTGCTGCATTATTGAGAAAAGATTCTTCTCTGTCATGATTGGTTCCTGATAAAACTCTGTTTTTTGTTTTTACTCTTTCTGTGTTTTGTTCTCAAGACCGGAGAGACTGCGTTGCACTACGCAGCGAGCAGCGGCAACGTAGCCATTGCCAGGGTCCTGCTTAACTACGGCGCAGATCACACAGTGAGGAACAAGGTAAGTCTGAAGACCACCGTGTGACTTCTTACGAAACAGTCTGCCGCTCTCCCCCATCCCTTCTCTCCCCTTTCTCCCCATCTCTCCTTTCTCCCTACACGCAGTGATAAGTCTTGAAGCACAATCACCATCTCTCCTTTCTCCCTAGACACTAGAACTTGTTGGACCCGACGAGGACGTAAAAATTGCAGTATCATAACATAGGACACATGTTTGGCACCGGTAAACATAAAAACGTAAAAATTGCAGTATCATAACATAGGACACATGTTCGGCACCGGTAAACATAAAAAAAAGTGGTTGTGAAAAGTGTTCTTCGCGACATCATAGCATAGTAGTGTCTCCACGAAGAGGTTTATTATGTACCGTTATTGTTATTATTATTGTATAGCAATTGTAGTGCAATTCTTAAATTCTCTTTTGTAACTTCGCTTTCAATTCAATTTGTTGTAGCTTCTTCTTCTTCTTCTTCTTCTTCTTCTTCTTCTTCTTCTTCTTCTTCGTCGTCGTCGTCATTGTCGTCGTCGTCGCCGTCGTCTTCTTCTTCTTCGTCGTCTTCTTCTTCTCCTTCTCCTCCCCCCCCTCCTCCTCCCCCTTCTCCTCCTTCTCCTTCGTCTTCGTCTTCGTCGTCGTCGTCGTCGTCATCGTCGTCGTCGTCTTTTTCTTGGTCTTCTTGGTCTTCTTCGTTCTTCTTCTTTCCGTCCGCTTCTGCTCCC